TTATTGGACTGGAAATGAGACACACTGTAAAAGTAAGCCTGAAATAAACCTGTAATATATTTAATACGTAAATATCAATCACTATCGATCCATCCATCCATCCATCCATCCATCCATCCATCCATTCATCAGTCAGTCAGTCAGTCAGTCAGTCAGTCAATCAACCAATCAATCAATTAATCAGTCAACCAATCAGCTAGTCAGTCAGTCAGGCAGTTAGTTAGTCACCAACCAACCAACCAACCAACCAACCAACAGTCAACCAATGCAATCAGTCGGCCAGGCAGTCGGTCGGTCGGTCGCTACGTGGGTCGGTTGGTCGTTGGGTTGCTTTGGTCGTCGGTTGATCAATCAGTTAACCAAGCAATCAAGCAGGTATTTGTCCATGCTTAGCGTTTGAGCGAAAAAGCTCATGCAAAATTCGTAAATTCTAAAAGGTCTCCGAAGAGTATCTTGGGCTAGACGAAACGCCGCGTCAGACTTGCATCCCACGAACCAAAAGTATTTGACAATTCTGTTATTGCAAAATATTCGTATCCCATAGAAATAATAAAAAAGGTTTGAAACCATGAAGTCATTAAATACTTTAAAAAATTAACATACCAAAATACCTAACTAGAAAAATATTATGACAACGACAAAAAAAAAAAAGTGGCTAAATTTTCTTTTTCAGTTGTGAAATGTGATAAATTGAATAAGACAGCCAATGTTATCATGTCGGGATGTGGAAGAGCGTCATTTTCCTATGGTGATAAATGCCTGTTTTACTGTGAGCATGGTTACAAAGCTGTAAGTGGAACAAAAGAGAGACATTGTCGGGAAAATGGGACTTGGTCAGGTTCACCTCTAACATGCGAAGGTAAGTTGTCAAGCGTCACTGTTTCTCAAATCACTAGTTCAACCTCACTTTGATTACTGCAGCCTAGTCTGAGGTAATTGTGACAAAACATTATCTAACAAGCTACAAAAACTACAAAACCGTGCTGCACGAGTAATAACTTCATCGGACGATGACGCTGATGTCGATTCCTTGTTTCACAAACTCAGCTGGAAAGACTTCTATTCTTAACGTTAAATTCAGAAAGCCCTATTTGTTTTTAAAGTCTTTAAACGGTCTGGTTCCGGAACATCTCACTTCTAAATTTTTAACGCGAAATGAATCAAATTATGCTCTGAGGGACTCGGTTAACAAACTTGTTGTTCCCTTTCCGAGAACTAACTACATGAAAAATAGTCTTGAATACAGCGGCGCAACCCTTTGGAACAGCTCTCCCTGTAACAATAGAGAGTTTGGTTCATTAAATCAATTTAAATGCTTTCTCTATCATAATTTTTAAACACAAGGCATTCATGGAAATCAGGTTTATAAGTAAAATATCGTTGTAAGTTAATGTAATATTAGGATTAGAATTTTAGGTTTAGGATCTCAGACACTTTTTTGGAATTTGTTGTACCTGATAAATTTTTTACCGTGTACAAATAATGATTAAAGATTAAAGATTTAAGATTAAAGGACAGATTTTAACATGATAGGCCAGGACCTGGAGCCTGAATAGATTAAAGTTGGCATTCGTATTTTACTACTTTTAGGTCGACGAGCCATTTTCACTTCTGTAGGGGTTTATACTAACTGAGCAAAATTAGTAATACACCTTCGTGCTTTTAAGATGTTATTCTGTTTGTTTGTTTGTTTGTTTATTTAAATACACGGAAGTTTCGTAAAGGCGCTCATGAGTATGTCATCCATCGCAGATCACAAGGCAGTCAGAGCAACTCATATTAATTGTAACTACATTAAAATTGGTCCAATTAACGGTTAGAGTAAAAAGCTGCGTAATTTAAAAACACCAGTACAACAATGAAAATAAGATATGGGCCGTGATATTTTCAATGTCTATGTTTTTTTGTTTTTTTTTTTTTGCAAAACAGTTGTCCAGTGCAGCTCCCTAACTTCACCCGAACACGGCCATGTCACACCAAGTCAGTGCCTCAACAACCCTCCATATGGAACTCTTTGTCAATTTACTTGTCAGAGAGGATACCGAGTCAACGGCTCAGACATAAGGACTTGTTCTTCTTCTGGCAACTGGTCGGACAATGCGTTAATTGTTTGCAAAGGTACAACATTTCTTTTGCCTAATTTTCTGCGATAGGCCATTTCCGAGTTACCTTGTTTTGATAACTCAGTTGGTAGAGCACTGCACCGGTATCGCAGAGGTCATGGGTTCGAATCCCGTTCAAGCCTGAATTTTTGTCAGGCTTAAATTTAAGTTGTGTGTATACAATAAGTTATTTTTAGAAATTGTACCCAGTTCTTCCGCGGATATTACTCACGCGTTGCGTGGATGTTTTCGTGGAGAATCTGTTTATGTCGTTTCGTTTCATTTCAAAGCAAAGGAAAACCTCCAACGCTGTAGGGATGTCTTCTTTGATATTTTGATTACAAGCAAGGGAGCTTGGGCTCTCGGTATGTTTTAATACATTTCAAAACATTAATAGGAGTTTAAATAAGAGACGGATGTCCTCTGCACAAACAATAACAGCGAGTGCAAAGCAAACAAACGCCCAAACGCAAGCTAGGCAACAAACAAACAGATGGTCGAAAATAGAGGCAGACGTTCGCTTCCCAATTGCAAGTAGCAAAAAGCAGTTTAAGCAGCAACGGCAACAACGCGAAAGGCAACGTCGATTAAAAAACGACTTAATATTCAACCTACGAATTTCGCAAGAATTTAGATTCATTCAGTTTGTCTATACTTTCAGAAATATCCCAAACAGAATATGTAAGACAAAATTCGAAAAAGAAATTTTAAAACTTGGCCGTCGTACAGTTCACGCTCTCTCGAATATGCAGAATGAGGCTATTTCACGTTGTTGTTTTGTGACCTTTTGTAAACAACGGCAAAGAAATAAATGAGGAATTATAACGCACGCTTACACAGCCATTGTACTCGTTGCCGTTGCCGTCAAAGTTTGCTTAATTAAACTCCCTAAAACCGTATAAACGGCCAAATAATGAACAGCCAAACGAGCACAAAACAAACGAAAGCTCTTTCGAACAAAAAGACGGTTGAGAGTGCAGAAAACATCTCTGCTTTGAAACGAAATCAAAACATATAAAATGAATTTCCCGCCATTTTGTCACAGGTAGTTTCGAGAAAGTCGCTTCGGCTGTCCACGCATCGCGCGAGTAACATCCTCGGAAGAACTGGGTACCATGTCTCAAAATAACTTAAGAGGGATTACCTTAGGTAGAGGACCTATAGGGGAGATTCACTCTCTTACCTTGATAATCTCTTGTCATGTCTTTAAGTCTTGTGCCACCGCTTTAAAACGAGTCTTCTTGCAAAACCTTTCTTATGAAATAACTGAGTTTGATTTGCTCGAAAATGAACCTGTAGGCGGAACACATTTTCATATGAATGGTTTCGCACAAAGACTCGTTTTGATACACGGACAAAAGGCAACTCGGTAAAGGCTTATTATAATAGAGATGTTCTGAATCGTGTTCGTGTGAATCGCATTGTTTGCTCGAGAGCTAAGAGTACGATGGAATTGTCCTGAAAGCAGTTGAAATTTTAGACCACTGTTGGTGGTTTTACTAAGAACGTTGCAAATACTTTTTGCTTGGATGAACAGGACTGTTCAGAAAATTATAATAGACTGTATATAAAACAGTCGAATAGAACCTTTTTCGCAAAGGTATAGCACAATATTTAGCATTTTGTTGAGCCATGTTGTTACAAATCAAACGTTGATATAATGTGGTATTCATAGTGCCTTCTAATTATAAAGGTCTTTTCCCAAAGTTAGGACGATGAGGTAAAAGTATATCTTAGCAAGCACTATTGGAATCTACCAAAAAAAAAAAAAAAAAAAAAACTGGCGATAGCTAAGCATTTTTCCGAGATAATTACTTTTGAATCTGGAACAAAAATGCTGACGTAAGCAATTTTTGGAAAAAGAAGGAAAACGGAATTCTTCAGATTTCCTTAGAATTCGTCTTTGCATACAGAAAACCAAACAAATTTATAACGACCTTAAAACGACACGGTAAATGGTAATATGAAAGGAACTTGGTATGTTTTTAATGTCAAAATCGTCGGAACAGCGCTTCTAGAGTCCCTGGCGACAGCACTCCTCTGGTTTAGCCAAAGCGCAGTCTAAACAGCTTTTCCTCACAACAAGAAACTAATCAGAGGCTTGCCGCCTCCGTTTCATAACATAAAATGTAGAGGTAACCACGCGTTTTCCAAAGATTCCTGTTACCTTTCTTCCTGTCACACCCCCCCNCATTAAGTTTCTCGCACTCGTTTTGCGTGCGCACCATGTCATCTGCAGGTAAATGTCTACAGTTGCATTTCAGTATAATTTTCTATTGTAGCAGCTAACAGCTATTTTTTTCAGCTGGAAGGCGCTAACAGTAAGTGACTGCTGATATGCTGCTATTCTGGTGTTCCTGGTTTTAGTACAGGTTCATTAAGCTTGATTTGGTTACAGCAGGGAAATTTTGTTACCATTTCAGTCGCGCTCTTGGTAGCACCGGGAGTTGATACGTCAATTTCAACCTTTGCGAGCGTGGCGTGTAAACAATAGGGAGTTTAAGGGCCCATTAACCGATTCATGCGCGCGCTCGCGCGCGTTGCTAAGGAGGTGAAATTTCACTTCCGGTCAATTCCGTCAGCCTGAACACGGAAAATAAAAACAACTCAAAAACTTGCAAATTCGCGAACATTTTAGTTGTTTTTCTTTGTGTTTCGCAAAATGCAAAGTTAAAAAAGTACAAGCAAAGACAAAATAAGAGAAAGACAGAATAACAACAGCAATAGAAAGAGAAAAACTAACTCCGTGCGGCTTTGTTTGATCTTACCGAAGTGCGCTGGTAGTGTAAATTGCGCACGCGCTGATAGAGTAACTTCCAATATATATCGGGCGCACTTCCGGTTTCTTTAAATGCTAAAGGAAACGCGGTTTTTCATTAAATTCAGTCTTTTTCGACGAATTTCGATTAAAGCCAACGTTGGAAACATAGCTATGCATTCCTTTTTCGAAATCATGCTTTTTCCAGAAAATTACGAATTTTTCAATATTTTGAAATGCTCTCAAAATCTGACCTTTTAGAAATGAAACAAAATCGATGCATAGCGTAATGACGATTTAAATTAGAATATTAAATCAATGAAAAAAATCCCGAGAAATTAATTTGTCTGGAAGCCTTTGCATTTTTTCTGTATTAGTCACATGACCGTGGGCGTGGCCTGATGACGTCATCACTAGTGTTACTGATCATGAAAAAGTTAAAACACATGAAATAACTCTGAACTAACTAAAAATGATGAGGTTATATGAGATTAAATTTTCCCTAGCAACGGCTCGAAAAGATCGGTTAATGGGCCCTTAAGCAAACCACGACGACGACGGCAACGAGAACGTCACCAAGCAAAAGGTTCAATGAGCAAAACAATAGCTGTGCATATGCGTTGTAAATCGCTGTACATTTCTTTGCCGTTCTCTGCAAAACAACGCCTTGTAATGACCAAGTTTTGCGTCGTCCGAGGAACACGAACGATGACGGCTGATTTTTCGTATTTCCATTTGGAATTGAACGCTGTTATTGCATACTTAGCCTGAGCACGTGTTTTAGAGCTATTGGCGTATTGTACAGATCTAGACAATTGCGATGTCGCTGGTAAAATATAAATTCATTTTTGACTTGTCGTCGTCCTCAGCGTCGTCGTCCTCAGCGTCGTCGTCGTCGTTGCTTAAGTGAACGTGTCCGAACTGAAAAAAGTATGCATCGTTTTCAAAACTTCAAAACTTGACGAATACAAAAGTTATTACACCACATCCTTATTCTTGTCACATTTTCGCGCTAGTTACGTTATAAGAGTACAAGCATTGCGCTACAAATTTCGAAGAGATGATTATTTTTTTGGTGACAGATATTGAGAAACCTGCCTTTACGTTTTGTCCTGGGAACTTTGAGGAATATGCCGACAGTGCATTGAACTACACCACAATACAGCTGCCTACCATCAATGCTACAGACAATTCAGGTCAACAGCCTCTTGTTAACTGTAGTGGGATACGAGACAAGTACTACATCGGAGAACACGTGGTAAGATGCACTGCTAGGGATGGAGCGGGAAATGAAGACACATGTCAATTTTCAATTCAAGTGAGATGTGAGTATTTTATTAAACTTTGATTCCAGTCTCATCATTAATCATTTCGAGCAAACCTCGATGTGATCACCGATACTGAAAAATGCTAGTCTATGCCGCATACTTTTAAGGATTGTGCCCAGGTTAGAGCTAATTACTTTGTGGAATATTTTTACATATGAATATTTAGGTAATAAAACTTTTACTTCGTTTTACGTCTACTGGAAACTACAGCAACACCCTTGGGTCCGTGGGTAGCTTTGGATAGAGAACTTTGATTCCATTTTTATTATCAATCATTTTGAGCGAAAGTCAATATGATCACAGGATGCTGAAATCATGTTCCCATTGCGGAGCCCCTCTATGGGTATATCTGAAGAAATCGAAGACGCGACAATTACCGCCGGAAAAACGAAGATCTCAAGATTGAAGCGAAAATTTGCGTAATAAGATGGAATTTTGACCAATAATTATAACCAGTTTGCCTTGGTATTGTTTAAGCAGTCGTTTATTTTGCTATTCACGAATTTATACAGTTATTTATGCTGAGAAATGCGGCTGTGAAATACACCCACGTCTGACTAAACTGCTAGGCAATGACTTAAATCAACAGATTATCAAGGTAAGTACCTTGATAATCTCTTGTTTCAGTCTATAAAACGAAGATCTGCTTTAAAACAATCGAAGATTTGTAAAAACAAATTGCGAAGAAAACGAAGTCTTGGGGTACCCGTAGAGAGGCTCAATGCAGTATCCCTTTGAGTATGTCCTTGTCTCAACTACTAGCTATGGACTCACTAATAAATTATTGTCCTGAGGTAGGGGTACCTTGCTTTGTAAAAAATAAAGAACGTAAACATGCCGTTAGTTTTTCCTTGACTGCTAGATATGAATACTGAAAAGACTTTATTTGCATTTCTTGTATATTCTATTTTCCTACTAGATAATTCTACTGTGCCTAGCAGTGGCCAACTCGAACGTGACGTTGCCACTTCACACTTGTTTTCTAGTTTAATGTAACTAATACTTGTTTTTTTATGATTTTGTTTCTTCGTTAACTAAAACGAATTTTACTTAATTGAAATAAGTGTAACCAAAGTGAACCTGAATTTGAATTTGTGGAATATGTTTACATATGTACTTCTATAACAACACTTTTATTTTATCTTCACCGTTTTTTATAAAAGTTATTTACTGCCGGCCTCCTTTTCCACCTCGAAATGGCTTCATTATCGGTAACTGCAACAACACACTTGGTTCCGTGTGCAGCTTTGGATGCAAGGAAGGGTACATTTTACAGAATGGAGCTACGAAGCGCACTTGTCTGCTGAAGGCGCCCAATCAAATACTAGGATACTGGAATGGATCTGAGCCATCTTGTAAAAGTAGGTTTAGGATTTGATTAGTAATATATTTTTAAAATATCCAGGTATCTTCTTGGAGGCTTTAGTTGAAGCAGAAAAAATTTCAAGAAAAGAAACCTCTCACGTCCCAAAACGAATTAAGAAGAAATACGACAGGCTATCAGCAATTTCAGTTTTTAGTGGACAAAAACCTTGTACCAGAATAACTAATTTTAAGTATATTACAGTCCTTTTTGCATTTTCTAAAAGCTAAATATATTAACAGTTATTTACAGTTGCCTGAAATAATACCAGAAACAACTTCCATAGGAACTTGAGAAAATAAATGTCAAAGTTTAAAAAAATTGTGCAAACACAGGTAAAATTTCATCATCAGTTTCATTTCACCAGTAATTTCAAGTATTTCAGCATAAGAACCTCAAAATCTCTTTTAGAAATAATTTCCTTTCAGAAGTCTGTCTGGATTGGCCACTGAACATAATGCATTATAGACTGGTCTCAACTGCAGACATAACGATTGGTCGCTGTTTCAGTGAATTAGTGTTACCGTCCGCTTCATTGATTTAGTTCTCGAGGTAACTGTAACTATGTGAGGGCGCGCCTGCAATTACGACTTAAAGAAAGGTTTTCCGCGAACTGCGAGGACGTAAATTGTCGGGTTTATTAATTGCAAACCTTGTTTAGTAACAATTTAAGAGTCCCTGTCCATAAAAATGGAAAGTAACTCGGCAAGGGTCGAAAATTCGATTTCGCTCATAT